CATGTTTTCACCCATTCAAACCCAATGAAGGCAGTGACTGAGATGTGATGGTGAGTGACATGGTCCTTCCCCAACTTCATCTGGAGAAACAGAGGTTCCCGTTCTTTAGAAAGGTCATGACCTGCATGTGCTGCAACCCAACCTCGGCAGCGGGGCTGGCAAAGGCAGCAGGAGGATTATGCTAGCCCAAAAATGACTATTTTTTAAAGCAAGCATTTACCAGAAGTGTTTATGGGGCCACCGTTACTGCATAAACCAGCTGGCTCTGGGATGGCAGCTGCAGTTGTGTTTGCTTCCATTGTTTACTGTGCTGGGGTCAGTCTGGCTGTAAGGTGAGCATCCAGCAGAATAGAAGGTGCTTGCTCCGTCACCTGGAGATTCCACCAGACCATATCTTCCCAGGTATTTTCCAAAATTCCCTTCACTCTTCCAAGAAAACATTCAATTGTGCAAGAGAACCAGGTATGGTGTCTTGATTTAGACTGATGTCTCCTAAAGTCTGTAGATTGTAGGTTTCTGGCTCTTCTTCTGCAGGAGGCATCACATGGACACGAAAGGCGCTGTGAGAAAATGCATGGGCTGGAAGGTGCTCAGGCAGATCAGTGCTTACATATGAGCATGAGGCCTGAGTATAGAAGCCAGCATCCACAGAAAAGGCCAGGCACAGAAGTGTGCACCTCTCAGCTCAAACCCTTCTTAAAATACAGATTTCACATTATGGACACATGAGAAGCGCTGTTCTCTTGTGTGATATGGATCCTGGGAGTGATTTGCTTAAAGACAAATGGTGACTCTCAATACGCCTTTAAACTTGACTCCAGGAACTCTGCAGCTTCCACTAGGGGAGTGATGCAGGCATCCCCAATTAAACAAAGCTCTATAAATGATCAAGCAAGATTCTTAAACACAAAGTCTTTATGCTGTGTAGGTATGTAAGTAGAAAATAGTGGGAGACTGGGTACAGGGGCAGGCCGGGGACTTGAATGGTCCTTACTTCAATTACTTTGGGCTCTCACTTGCAGTCCATTGCTGAGGCTGCTGGCAGGAGTGGGTTAGGCATGTGGACACTGTAAAGAGTTCCCCCACTTACTCTAGGACTTCTGCTGTGTACCTCAAGCTGTCCTTCAGAGCACAGTGCACAGCTACCCAATTCCCCCTGGGTAAGGTGACTTTTCTATAGCTTCACAATTATCTTCTTGGATAGACTGGGGGCCAGAAAGGTCCCCGAGAGACATTTAGGTGAACTGACTCTTTTTACTAACCCTTCCTCAGTAGGAAAAGAAAAGGTTCCATATTCATCCAGAAGCCATGACATAAGTATATTAATATTCTTTATTCCAGAAAGTAGGAAAATGGTTCTGCAATTATTCCTCATTAGCTGTGGGGTGGAGGGGTTCGTTCACATGCTCACATCTCTGCCGTCCTTAGTGACTGTCTCCCCCAGTATTGTTTTGGTCATCTGTTTTATTGTTGTCTGATTGTCCCAGGGACACATGAGAGAAAAAAGGTAACACCTATAACCCAAAGAACAATCCACACAAGTGCAGCCTCTTATAAGTCAATGAGTTCATTAGGGGCATCTTAAAGGCACATGAACAATTCCTGAAGGCTACATCTTCCGAATTCACCACATATGCTCCCATCTTCTAAGTTCCTAATCTATATGGATTTAAGTCAGAACTGAAGGATCCGGCCTTATAGTGGTACCCAGTCATGTTCACATACCCACACAAAATACGATTTTTTAAAAAGATGCATAATTTGATAAAAATATATCTTGAAAATGTTTAAGTATATTTTCGTTAGTTTTTTTATTCTTTTATATCTCTTAATTTCTTTTCCTGCTGCCATGATAATCACAAGTTAAGGGAGAATGATTTTATTTGCTTCAGCTCATAGTTCAAGGTTCTGTCCATCATGACAGGAAGTCGAGACAACAGGAGCTTGAAGCAGCTGGTGACACCACATCTACAATCAGGAAGCATAGGGCAATGGATGCTGGTACTCAACCCTCTTTTTGCATTTTAAACAATCCAGATTCACCTGCCTAAGGAAAAGCCCACCCGTAATTAAAATGGATTTTCTCTCTCCGTGTAATCAAGACAACCCCTCATGGCATGCGGGCCCCAGGCCACCCTCCAAACGATTCCAAATTCTGCCAAGTCGATAGTTAATACTGACTACCACAGTGTGACAGCTCCAAAGCATGCCTTGTGATTTATGAAATGATAGATGAGTGTGACATTACAAACCGCTGTCAATGTGATGGCTTGTCTCTCCAGAGCACTCTACCTGTCAGGATCCTACCCTGCAGACCAAGCAGTTTATATTCTCTATTCCAAACCTATCAACTTCAACTCAGAAGAAGATTCTGAATTTTTTCCCTTGATTCCGAGGTCACTGTGGTTTCTGGGTAGCCAACACGTTTAGTATAAAATGATCAAACCACAAACATGTCCACCTTAAGCATTGTTTATGGTTCCTCTTTCATTTCTTCATTGGGCATGCTTATTAGTTGTGTTGTTGATTCTCCAGCACAAGGCTAATGCTAGTTGAGTTGAATTGATAGAACAGTTTACAAACATTATAGAAGCTCATGGTGTGTTCTCTCTCATTGGCTCAAATTCTATTATTTGTTCTCTGTAAGGGCTGCTGCTCTTTTTATAGAACCAAACCTATTCTGAGTGACCATAATTACTGTCTTTGGGGGTGTTGACATTGTCTCTGCTTGGCCATCTGAAGCCTTCCTTATTTAGGCATCTTTGTATTTTTAACACTGCCCTGGACATCTCCAAGGCCTTGATCTTTGGCAAAAATTCTTGCCTGCTTTCATGAACTGTTCCCTTTTTTTGGGTCCTAAGTCTAGTCACAATACCCCTTCTTAAAATCCTATTTTAGCAAATTATGGTTTGCTCTGTGGTGTTGCGTTCTTGTGTGAAAGAAAACAACTGCCTCTTCATTTAACTACTGTTTCTCATCCATGCAAGTCCCTCATGTGAAAGACCTTTTTATTAATTTTGCTTTCTTTCCTCCCACAAAATGACATCCTAAATTATAACAATACCATCCAAAGTTTTATAAATCTTCGTTTTTTTCTTTTAAGAAAATAGTACCAAGCAGAAATTTTTACAGATTTTTTAAAAATTTCATACATTTGAGTATTTTGCCTGCATGTGTGTATATGTACCATGTGCATGTCTGGTGCCTGCAGAGGCCAGGACAAGTTGTCAGGTCTCCTGGAATGGGAGTCATGGATGGTTTTAAAGCTTCAATGTGGGTGTCGGGAATTGAATCCAAGTCTTCTGTCCTCTGCAAGAGCAACAGGTGCTTTAAACCATGGGGCCATCTCTTCAAACCCACAGACGGCAATTTCAAGATACCAAACCATGGGCCAGGAATGTGGCCATGTTGGTAGAATGCTTGCCTAGCATGCAGGAAGCCCTAGGTTCCACCCCCCCATCACCACATAAACCAAGCATGGTGTTACAGACCTGCAATCCCATCCAGCACATGGGAAGTGATGGAAGACTAGAGCTGAAATTCAAGGTCATCTTCAACTACATAGCAAGCTCAGGGCCAGCTTGCTCTACATGAGATTCTATCTCAAAATAAATAAGTAAATAAATACACATTTAAAAAAATGTTCAATCATGAGAGAGACCCTGAGCAATGGAACAGTCCAAGGGTGCTTGGCAGTCACCATCAGGAGATAATGATGGCCAATGCCCAGCAAGGGAACAAAAAAAAAGCCTCTAGACAATACTGTTTATACTAACTTATGCATATGTGTATAAGAGAACACACATGAGCACATATGTGTAAGGACATGCCATGGCCATGAGGAGGTGAGTCTTCCAGTGTTTTCCCCTCCTGGGAAAGAGGTAGAAATTCCATTCTTTTTATATAATGATAATAAATACCCTCCCAACCACACACACACACCAAGATGGAAAGTCCACATCTGCTCTTCAGATGGCAGACATTGAGTTCCTGGCACATTGAAATCACTAAATTGCTGAGTAGGACTGAATCTCCTAAGAGCAGGCATGTCTTCTACCAGATTTGCATGTTGGAGGAACGGAAACACACTGTTTCCTCCTGTGAGCAGCTCGGTGAGGAGTGGCTTACATTACATGTCTGCACTTTTGCCAGCAATTTCCCAGTTCTTCATATTAAAGAATTACTTGTTCTTTCATATCATCCTGGGCTTTATTCTAATCTCTTTTCCTTCCAGACAGTTCATCCAACCTCCTGCCTTTGGTCTCTATCTGATGTTGCTGGTATTATCTACAATAGACATGAGTCCAAATAGCTCAGGTACAACCCAAACACTAATTTCTAGACAAAATGACTTCCTTTTCACTGTAATATTGCACTGTGGCCATGGAAGTAAACCTTCTGACTTCACCAATAAAAACCAAAAACAGGAGTGGAGCAGAACAACCTATTCCCAAAACATAGGTAGGAGAAATGTCTTTCCAAAAGGGGCATAGTAATTCTGGTCTGGTAATACATTTGTCCCCATCACATGTAATGAACATGACTGGGAGCTGCCATTTTAAAAAACTAACTCCCTTTAAAGTTGCCCCTAATTAAAATGCTTTTGACAAAGTAAATACTCACATGTGCAAAGTTATTTTCCTTCAGAAACAAATGTAGCAGTTACTACAGAAAAGCATGGGCAGTCATGTTTAAAGGCTATAGGACCTATTAAATGAGCAGTGGTTCTCAACCTTCCTAAGGTTATGAACCTTTAATACAGTTCTTTATGTTGTGGTGACCTTCCAACCATAAAATTACTTTCATTGCTACTTCATAACTATAATTTTGCTACTGTTAGAAATCATAATCTGTGTTTTCCAATGGTTTCTTGGGGTTCATAACCCACAAGTTGAAACCCACTGCTTTAAGTTATGAACTTAAACAGTTATGTAACAACAATAACAGCATTTTTTTACCAGGACAGACAGACAGATGGGTCAAAGACAACCAGGGCATTTCAGAAGTCAAAAGAAACAAGACAATGCACTTTCAGAAAACTCTTTAGGGTTAATATTCATTGGGAATGGGCAACATAGAAGAGTATGGGAATGCAAAGGCTTCTGGGAATTCTCCAAGTGGTGAGTCCCCTTCTCTCTGCTACTCAGCTCCTGGCACAGGGTCCCTGTTACATATCTGGTGATTTGCCTGTTTGAACCTGAAGATAAATTGTGTTTTCTTTGGCCTTTGATTTCCTGTAGCAACCATAAATAAAAATTAAAGTTAGTGAATAAACAATCATCATTTTGCTTATCTGATACTTGAAACAGGTCTTGTGATATAACTGTTGCTGGCCTGTCATACACTATGTAAAAATGCTGGTCTCAAAATCACCATATAGGTGAGTCTGCCTCAGAGTTTCAAGTGTTGGAATGACACTCATGAGCCATTCTGCTCAGCTTAATGGTCAGCATCTATTTTTTTTTGAGACAGGGTTTCTCTGTGGCTTTGGCTTTGGAGACTGTTGGAGACCAGACTGGTCTCAAACTCACAGAGATCCACCTGCCTCTGCCTCCCAAGTGCTGGGATTAAAGGTGTGCGCCACCAATGCCCGGCAGTGGTCAGCATCTTGATAAAGAAATTTGCAACGTTGAAACTTGCGGAATATTGCTTAAGATGGGACAGAGAAAATAAAAACCTGGGGGGGGGGAGTGCTATGTAAGAGTGTTGTCTCTTAGACATGATATGACATGACCATTGCACTCATGAGTTCACTGCAACTATGGTTATTGACACAAGACCTGAACAAGATCAAGCCAACAAGGTCAGTCAACATTCCAACAGGCAGCACTAGCTGGATTTGATGGGTGTTGAACAGTACTATCCTCCAAGCAGAACAACCACTGTCTTCATCAGACAGTGCTGTATCTGCAAAGAACATCACAACTGGGACTGTTGGCATTCCCTCCTAGGAGGAGGGTATGGAAAGGCTCATTAGACCCTCTAAGTATCCAGTCACTCCTCCCAGCAGGTTGTTGGCAGTCCTGCTCCAATTATATATGGCCTTGGGGTCTCAGGGAGGAGCTAGAGTATATATTATACACTGAGGAAGCCTAGAAGAAGGTCCTCCATCCATGCAAGCATTGACTTTCCAATGCTACTGCTTTGGGGTCACCTGTGATCTTACTTATAACCCCTAACCCAGCATCTGTAAGTAAGCCTAATAAACTCATTTGCTCCCCAGGATTAAGTTTGGGAGGATCAAAGTTTTGCTGGTCACTGGGACCTTAGAAGGAGTGGGGAAACATATTGTCTAGTCCCCCTGGCCAACATGGGACAACTGTCCAGTGTCCCTGATGCAGTGTGGGACAACTGTCCACTAAGAAGCAGGGTCTGTTTTTTTGCTTTCCTTGCAGAGCTCAGTAGATGAGATCTTTTCCCATCTCCAGCATTTCTGGAGGTCAATCCAAGCCCAAACATCTGAAAAGCTCTCCCAAAACCTTAAGGAAGAGTAAACAAGAGTGTGCACCGATTGCTGTGATGAGGCCACACCCTTCTGTCCCAGTATCACACCCCTCACCTCCTCCTCCTTAGGTTCTCTGCATCTTCAATAGTCTCAGGCAAAGCCACACCCTTGGTCTCTGGAAGAAGAAATGTCATGGCCCCAGCAGTCAGGCCCAAAACCCCTACAAATGAAACAGAGTCCAAGGAAGAGTGTTAGAATGGGCTCATGGCCCTTACATGAGAGCAGTGAGCCAGAGAGGGTGGGGAGGAGGTGCTGTTTGTCTTTGAAAATTATCAAGAATATTCAGGAAAGAACTGGAGGTAATGGTATACTTAGAGATAATAAAATTTAAGATAGAAAGATGATGACAGGTGACTGATAGATGATAGATAAATAGAAAGTATATGCATTGGTAGATAGCTAGGTGATAGATGATGGATAGATAGATATTGATTGATGATATATAGATGATATATTTATTAATATAGATATATGACATATAAAGAGATAATAGATACATAGATGATAGATAGATAGATAGATAGATAGATAGATAGATAGATAGATATGTTGGTTGATTGTTTATAGATGACAGGTAGGTATATAGATAGATAGATAGATAGATAGATAGATAGATAGATAGATAGATGATAGATACCTAGTCAGATGATAATGATATGTGTTAAATACATGAACAGATAATAAATTCATACATGCATAAAAGAGAAAGAAAAAGAATACAGAAACACACATAGATACAGAGATGACAGATAATAGGTACATAAGTATAGAGACAGGGATGGAGACAGAGTTGCAGAGCATGACCAACCTATATATGTCCTTCTTATTACTCTCTCTACTTCTCCTTCCTTCCCTCCTCCCTTTCTTGTGCCCTTCCCTCCTTCCTTTCTTCCCCATCTCTTTCTTATTCTCTTCCCTTACTTCCCTCTCTCTCCAACCCATTCTCTAACTCCCTCCTCTCCCTCCCTGTCTTTCCCCTGCATTTGCCTGTGCCAGGCATGGCATTTTTCTGCACACACCCAGACAGCCTTCTGTGGGGGGGTGAGCATGTCTTAGAGCCCTCCTTCTCTGTGTTGAGAGACAGAAATGGTATTCTGATCCTCTTTCACCAGCCCAGCTTTATCAATAAAGAGGACACAGAATGTTGATTCCTATGTGTCTTCCTGCGTCCTTCTCCTCACTTTCTGAAACAGGGTCTCACATATAGCGCTTGTAGGCCCTTATATCTGTGGTTGTCCTCCCTCGGTCTCCAGTGTGCTAGGATAACAGATGAGCAGCACCACACTCAGAAAGGGATATTCACTCAACACCATCATACCCCTGGCAATGACATGTTCAATGCAAACAAATTAGAAAATAAATGCACAAGGCTAGAGAGATGGCTCAGCAGTTGAGAACACTGGCTGCTCTTCCAGAGGTCCTGGGTTCAATTCCCAGCACCCACATGGCATCTCACAACTGTCTGTAACTCAAATTCCAGGAGACTTGACACCCTGATACAGGCAAACTACTGCACATAAAATAAAGATAAATTTTTAAAAAGAAATTAAATGCACAAGAAAGCAGCCGATTACATAAAAATATTATCAGCCTGTAGACTGCAGGATGGATTGATGGAGGCTGGTGCCACAAGATGAAAATCCCCTGCCACTCCATGGGAATTACATCTTACTATTTCCTGAAATGCAAGGCAAAAAGAGTCAGGAAACAGCTGAAGCCCATGCACCATCCTTGACTCTCAGTCCACAAGCAGCTACTGCTTGCTCACACAATGCCCTCCACCAGGCCAGAAAGAGGGAATAGCCTGAGAAGTCTTACCAAACAAAATGAGGGGCAAGGCTTGCCAAATTTCCATCAGTCTGAACACCATGAAGGGGGTGAAGATCCCACCCAGATCACACAGGGCAGAGCACACCATCATCCCAAGATTCCTGGGGAGACACAGAGATGCAACAGGTCATGTTCATGTTTCATCTTCAAGGTGTTCACAGCATCCTAGAGCAAGCACAAGATTGGGTGTTCACAGGGCTGGGGAAGAGCTGTGTGGAAAGAAGGTGACAGGTGAGCACAGAGGTAGGTATGGGCTTACCACTGCTCCAGCAGCTGAAAAGACAGCCTATGTCTGCAATTGTACTCTCATATGCTTAGCCCTCACACTCCTCAAGGCCAGCTAAGGGCCCGAGGAAGATGATCAATCATACTTGTTCTCTGACTTAAACTTTAGCTCTACCCCACTCCTGTCCCAGGACCGTGATGTGTTGTTATTTGGAAAGAGAGCACAATATACGTGTGTGGCTAAGCTTAGAAGACCCAGATTCATACCAGGCCATGTCTGCTATCAACACCACATGAGTGTGATGCTCAGAGTGTGAAGAGAGCTGTTCGGACTCCCTTGTGAGTATGGTCCTGTGGCTCAAATAGTCCTTCTTTGAATCGGGAGTGTTTACAAAGTAATGGGTGGCTGAAACAAATGCCTTTTGCCATCTGCATTTGATTCTCTTGACAGTAAATACTGGAACTCACATGGCTGTGTATGCATCAGGTTTAAAGTTTGTTTTGGACATCCAGCTTCCACTCCTACTGTCTGTGAATACTTGTCACTCAATGCACAGGGGAAAGGAGCATTCAGGAAGGTACCATTTGGCCTCCTCCATAGAGGACCGGGCACTTGGTAACTGCTATTGTTTAGGGAAGTGTTCAGATAAGCCTGTGTGTCACACAGTTGGTCACTGGCTGGTGGTGCTATACTGGAACTGGAGTTCTTAGTCTGTCTAGATAATTAAAAACCTGGAGTCAGAGATAGAGGGAAATACTGAGAGATCAGAGAGAAAGAGCAAGCCACTGCCATATCTTACCTCCTTCAAGTTTCAGCAGACAAGAGAGCAAGTTCCTGTTTCTCCCTGCTTATATCCCAGCTATCTCACTTACTGTCTGTCTGTACAGACCTCCAGGCCTCCATGGTTAGCTAGTGGCAAGCTCCATTCTCTTATTTGTACAAGCAATGTATCACCACATTATAATGAGATAATGGAGCCTTTGGGAGGTAAGGTCTAATAAAAGGAAGTTGGGTTAACAGAAGTATGCCTTAAGTGGGCGATGGGAAGCCCAGTCCTTCCTCTTCCTTGTCTCTGTTTATCTCTCTGGTTGGGATATTTTGTGCTGCCTTGAGCCCCAACCCCACAGCAACAGGGTCAAGTGATCATAGACTAAAACCTCTGCCTGGAACCAGGAGTTAAGCTAGATCTTTCCCTTTTAAAAGTTGGTTAGTTCGGGTATTTTGTTACAGTAACACATAGTACTTTTGACCATTTCTCTGGATCTGGCAGTTGTGACAGTAGACTTATTTGTCCTGATTATTTCAGACTCTGAGCTCAAAAGTACTAATACAGAAGATTCCCCCCAACCTCTGTCTCTTGGTTTTTGTAGTTCCTATTTGTTTTGGGTTTTAATTTTGGTTTGGTTTGATTTGGTTTTGGTTTTTGAGAGAGGGTCTCATTATGTAGCCCTGGAAGGCCTGGAAAAGTTTTCTCCTAATTTGCCTTGGTTTCCTTGTACTCAGATCAAGCAACTTTTTGTAAACAACAATCTAAAATACATCTTTGATAAGGGAACTGCAGAAGACATGAAAGAGTAGGCTGAGTCATTTGTGTTCTCTGAGTCACTGAGCAGCAGGGGTTAATGAAACTGGAGTATTTCTTACACATTGTCACAAAACAAATGGAGCAGAAATAATTTATACAGGGGAAAAAAAAGAATTTAAGGTAATAAGCCAGATTCTACCCAAGGGCAGGTTAGAATAGTGTCCTTTTTAAAAAAAAAAAAAAGTTCAAATAAAGTAGTTACTTTCACAATTAAAATAATCTTCTCCTCGAGTTGAGATCTTAGGGCTGGAGACCAAGATCAGAAGGTAAAGGTGTTTGCTGCCAAGCCTAATGGGGGAGAAGATTTTATTTATTTATTTATTTATTTACTTACTTACTTACTTACTTTTGGTTTTTCAAGACAGGGTTTCTCTATGGCTTTGGAGGCTGCCCTGGAACTAGCTCTTGTAGACCAGGCTGATCTCGAACTCACAGAGGTCTGCCTGCCTCTACCTCCTGAGTGCTGGGATTAAAGGCATGTGCCACCACCTCCCAGCTGATAAACGTGTTTTAAATAACTCTAACAACTAAGTTCTTAAAACACTGGAGGCAATGAGCTCACACACAGATACTGGGCATTATCCAGATATCGGAAAAGTAAAGCTACCTCCCAAGAGGACCTCAAAGTGGCCACACCAAATTGACCTCAATCCCCAACACATATCTGGAGGATGAAAAAGGTGGAATATCTTTTGGAAAATAGGGGTTTTTTTCTAATAAAATTAAACTCACACATATCTAAGTATGCCCCTGCAATTCCATCCCTGTATTTATCCGATTCAAATAAAAACATGAATCCATTCAAAGGCTCTGCATAGGTGTTGACAGTAACACCTCATTATCATCCTATGCTGGCAGCAAGGTTCACCTGCTGATGGAGAAGCAAATACTGAAACATCCACATTCTGGAACACTTTTCAGGAAAGAACAAGGCATTGACAAACATGTTGAGGCAAATACAGCTCATCATAACTAGTGACAGAAGCCAGACAAAGGGCCACATGTCGTGACTTTTATTTGCTGGTGGTCCAGATGAGGCAAACGTATGTGGACAGAATGAGGCTACAAGAGGACTGCTGTGAAGAAGCATGAAGAAACTTGGTGACAACAATGGGAATATGCTCTGTTTCGGTTGTGCCAAGAGTTAAAGAGTAATATACATAAACAAACGTACATGTGCGTGCTATACATTGGTCACCCAAGCTCATCAAACCGTATTTTAGAAAAAGCCAATTTCACTCTGCATATGTGAGATTTTAAGAAAAAAAACAAAAACAAAAAACAAAACAAAACAAAAACAAACCCACCCAAGTGTAGACAGCAAAAATAAAAGAGATGTTGGTTGGACTGTATGAAAACTTAAAACTTCTGTTCATCAAGGAAGCAATCCAGAGTGGGAAAGCAGAGTTTGGAATGGAAGGTGATTACATACAAGTCCAGGATCTAATGAGGGGCTGATATGCAGAACATATCAAAAACCATAACCCAACAACCACAGAGCCAATCACAGGAAAGCTACCTAACTACCATTTCTCCAAAGACAAGAAACTGAGCCACCACCAGCGGGCCTTAGTCTGACCCCACTTGCTGTTTACTCTCCACTTCCTGGCTGCCAAGGCAGTGTGACCAGCCAGCCTCCTACTCTGGCAAGCCACGCCTTCCCCACGTTGATGAACTGTACCCCCTTGAACTGTGAGCCAGAGTAAACCTTCCCTTTCTTAAATCACTTTGGCGAGGTATTTTGTTGCAGCAACGAAAGGAACTATTACAGTGACCCACCCTTGGAAGCATCTTCCAGAAATGTCTTAGAAACACTGCTCTCTGCCTAGCTGTCCAGAGGCTATTCCAGTGTCCGTTGCCATTTGTGGCCTCACCTGATGAATGTAGGGTACAGCTCAGCATTCACCAGGCAGATCATCTGCAACACAATGGTAGCTCCCATTCGGCCCAGACAAGAGAGAGTGACATTCAACCAATGCAGCTCTAGGAAGAAACAGAAAGATGGTTGGAGCAAGTATGCTCCCTATGTGAGCTGGAGTCAACAGGAGAGAAGCTGGACTGGGCTGAGCTGGGACCAACAATGCCCTAGCTCTGATAGGCAGCAAAGGATGGTCTTAGCCCTCTGCACTCCTCCTCCTGCCATCAATGTCATGCTGTTCAAGAATCTTACTCAGGATTCTAGAAATAGGGAAACGGGGGAGATGAGAGGTCTTATTTTAGAGGTACCATAGGGTTCTCCCGCTGATTGTACACATACAGACATATACACACATACACTCACCACATACACTCACACACATATACACATACACATACACAGATACCCACACATACACACACACACATACACACACACATACACACACATATATACACACATACACTCACACACACATACACACAGATATACACACATATATACACACACATATTCACAAACACAGATACACACACATACATACACACACAGATACACACATACACAAACACAGATACACATACATATATACACACACAGATAGACACACACTCACACAC